AACTACCATCCCTGTCAAGCTCTTTGCCCGTTCCGGAGGCATGACTACCGGCTCAGCCAAGATCAAGTTAAAGAGCAGTGAGCTGCAGATCATCAAGACAGAATTGACCCAGATCAAGTCCAACATTGATGCTCTCTTGGGCCGCTTGGATCAGATTGCTGAGGAGCAAAAGGCCAACCCAGATGGCAAGAAGAAAGGTGACAACGGCAGTGGTGGTGGCGGTGGCGGTGGCAGTGGCAGTGGCAGCGGTGGCAGCAGCACCAGTATCAGCAGGCCACCCCCACCCCCACACCCGAGGCAGGTATCACCCAGGAAGAACCCCAGACTCGAGATGATGGTGATGAGGAGGGGCTGCTGACGCATAGCGAGGAAGAGCTGCCTGACAGGAGCATTGGCCACCAGCAGGAGAAGGGCATCACTGTCCAAGGCCTCACACCAGGCACCCACTCCCTGGATGCCAACTTGTAGCGGGTACCAGAGGAAAGCTGGCAACAGGCACTCCTGGCCTCCCCATGCATCCCAGGCTGGTACCTCGTCTTCTGCAGGTGGAGTTATTGGCTACCCTTCCCCCCATGCACCCTCCCTGTCTGCACTGTCCAGGCCAGAGGGCAGAGCACAGGGGGTTCCTCACACTCTGCCTCCCCTCCCCAGGACATTCCTAGGCTTGGGGGTTTTCTATAGGTTTGGATGGGTGGGTGGTAAAGGATGGGGACCTTGACAATAAAGAGATTGGATCTAGTCTGCTCTGAAAAAAAAAAAAAAAAGCTTCTATTTCTCATTAGCTTTCACTTGTAAAACCCAAATGCCATGAAAAAGCACTCACGTTTTCCCCTTCAAATCAAATTACCTTTGATCCTTTCAAACAAGTACTCTTGATTCGGTGTGAGGTCTAGATACTGCACAATTGCATTCAGAGTTGGAATGAGAGGGGCTTTGACCAGGGCAGCCTGTTTCAAGCTGGTAATACTAGCTTCTGTTCAAAACAAAACACAGAACACAGATTACCCTTCACAATGGTCTCAGGAAGAGTTTAACATGCTTGTGTGCACACAGCTGGCTCCTCCCTGCCTTCAGTCCTTACACAAGCTAGTGATCTTCCCTGATTCACTCCGATTTCAACATTCCTCTGGAAACATTAGTACCAACTCCCCTTTTGTGTTGCTCTTCCTCCTCAGCACTAACCGAGCAGAAAACAGGAATGAGGGCAGGGATGGGGGGGTCATTGTTGTATCCCAATGCTTAGAAAAGTACCTATATCTAGTACACAGTAGGTGCTTAGTAGGTGTTGATAAATGAAAGCAATAATAGTTTATCTTAATTTGCATTATCTAGTTTACCTACAATTTATCATTTTGGTGGCCAGATTTATAAACACACACCCACACTTACTCCTAAAGAAGCAGCCAAGCCCATTTTAACAAATTTATAAACAATATAAAGATGTTATATGTATAAAAAGACACATGATAGCTTTTAAAATACTAAGGTGAATGAGGCTTCTCATTATGCCAAATATACATTTACCATAGTATTTTCTCTTAAATCTTGAAAGACCACTATGCAAAGAAATTAAATAGCAAAAAAGAAAAATATTTCAAACTGCTTAACCTTATTCATAACACCCATAAAGGAGTTATCTTGCCAGCTCCTTTATACATACTTTATACAATGCAATTAAAATCTGAAAAAGATCTGCATCTAAGATAAAGAACACAGAGAAGCGACAAATTAAAAATATAACACAATTTAAAAATGAATGGGATGGGCCAGGGAGATGGCTTAGTGGAATAAGCGCTTCCCTGACAAGCGCAAGGGCCTGAGTTCAATCCCTGGTTCCGCAAAAAAAAAAAAAAAAAAAAAAAAAAAAGTTCACTGCTAGGGGGCCAGGGAGATGGCTCAGTAGACTAAGCGCTTCCCTGGCAAACTCAAGGGCCTGAGTTCAATCCCTGGTCCCCTCTCCCCCACAAAAAAAAAAAAGAATGGCGCCAGGGAGATAGCTCGGTAGAATAAGCGCTTGCCTGGCAAGCAAAAAGGCCTGAGTTCAATCCCAGATTCTGCAAAAAGAAAAAAGAATGAGGGGGCCGCCCAGATAGCTCAGCAGACTGAAGCACCTGCTTAGGGAGGTGCAGGGATCAGGGTTCGATCCCCAGCATGGTGTGCTGGCCCCGCCCCCAAGGCACACTGAGACGAGGGACTGAGACTGGGTGTGGTGCCGTGCACCTGTAATCCCAGTGCTTGGGAGGCTGAAAACAGGAGAATCACTACAAGTCTGATCTATGTAGTGAGACCCTATAGACCCTGTCTTAAATACAGGAAAAAAGAAAAAGTAAGGGATCTGAAAATGGCAATAAACACATGCAAATGTTTAATGTCATTAAAGGTAGGTAAATGTAGACCAAAAGTATGGTGAGAAGGGCTGGGGAAATGGTGCAGTACAATAAGCGCTTCCTTGGCAAATGCAAGGGCCTGAGTTCAATCCTTGGCTCTGCCAAAAAAAAAAAAAAGTATGGTGAGACACAACTGAAATGACTGCAGGAGACACAGTCAGCAGTGCTGGGGAGGTACAGAGAACATGGGACTCTCACACATGGCTGGTGGGGGTATAAATTGCTACTGCTGCTTCAGAGCAGCCTAGTAGTGCTGCAAGAGGTTATACAGAGTGACTATACGACTGGGAAGTTCCATTCCTAATTATATAACCAAGAGAAATTAAAATGTTAGCTTGCATCAACACTTGTACATGATTGTTCATGGTAGCATTATTTATTGTAGCCAAAAAGTGGAAATAAATCGAATAGTACTAAATTCATGAATGGAAAAAAATTGTAGAAGCATTTTGAAAATTTAACCATAAAAAGAAATAAACAGGGCTGGTGAGATGGCTCAGTGGTCTAAAGCACCTACTTAGAACAAACTTAGCAAACACAGGGACCAAGGTTCAATCCCCCAGCACCACATGCCAGCCAGCCCCGCCCCCTGGTGGGCTGAGCTGGCCACAC